ATTTTACAATCTTTAATTCACTTTTAAAAAGAATGACCAGTCTGATTTAAATAATTTTATCACGATTAGAACCAGAAGAATCTAATAAATAATTTTAATTACCAAAAAAGAGGTTTACTTAGTAATTATATCTCTTCTGAAGTACTTTTTTGTATTTAGAGGTGGTATTAGCAAAAATAGAGAGTGGAAATAGCAACACTCTAGAAATATTGAAACTATATAAAATGTCTTCTATTAAAAGGGCCCAAGTAAATGAGGTTTAATATACAGTAGTATTCTCGATCTTAAATTTTATTTTATGGATTTTTTTATTATTTTAGTCATTCTTGTGACTTATAGTAAATCTTTTTCGTTGGGTACGTGTCTTTTTCAAAAATAAAATTTTTAAAATATAAAAATGGACCCTTTTAATAAGAGACACTCCATATAAGAAGTAACAATATAGAGGTCTGACTGTATTAAAAAATATTTTTAATTATTATAAGAATAAAATTAAAATTTTAAAAATATTTTTAGAGAACAATATAAAAAATTTTGGTTGATCTGGCTGTCAAATTATTGACGATCCACATGGTCAAATTTATGAGCGACATAAATTTTGGGAGTATTCCAGTATTCCTCAAATCGGCGTATATGTTACTTAACAATATATACTGAATATGATCTAATCAAATTCTAATTTTTATTAATATTAACTTTAGCTATGCGAGCATAAAATATATCAGAATATAAAAACAATCCGGATCATGTCAACTCGGAAACTTCGGAAGAAGGAATATTATCTCTACTATCATTATCAATATCATTGCTCCGAGGAATAATTAAAAGATTTTTCGCCACTAATCCATAGCGATCAGAAAGTTTTAGGAATCGAGCATATAATAAATTTTCGTTCTATGAAAAATTTTTGGTATTAATGGATTTTGTCGGATCTTTAGAGTGTTTAAATGTTAGAAATGAAATCAATTATCACCTCGAAGGCTTCAAATACTTCACGATGATGAAACCAAGCGTGTGCAAATATCCTATAAAGTCTTCTCGCTATGGATTGGTAATGTTTTAATGAGGATTCGGGTATCGATATCCTTTATTGACAATAAAGTGTAAGTAAATACATGATTATCCGTAACTATCAATTCGAGGCAACTGACCTGCTAGGAAAATACTTTTGGCTATTAAGTAATGTTGTTGCACCATCCAAAGTATGCACAATGTAATCGATCGCACAACACTGATTTAGTTCCATGAAAGTTTATCAAGTCAGAAAAGTGTTAGACAAAACATTCTTTAATAATATTTACCTACGTTTGTAGGGGACTGATGTGCAGCACAAAGATACATCCATTCATCAGCTTTCATTTCGGGACATGATTGACGATTACATTCAGCTTCAAGTTGAACTACTAAGTAATTGAGCTCAAGGCACAATTGTCTGAATTTATAAAAAAATAATGTAGAAAAATTTTTTATAAATAAAGTGATATAATATATACAAGTAACTCTCGTTATAGTGAAGTGAGAGATTTTCTTCACTATGTCGAGAGTCCATTAGTAAATTCATTATCTAAGGAGAGTTTTTATATACAACAGGAGTTCACTATAACAAGGGTTCACTATAACGAGAGTGACTTGTAATATAATATACCATGAATACCTCAAATGTTCATATTGCCAAGCCTCCTCTTCGTGACCTGGTGGTAATTCAACTAATAAATCTATATTTTCTTTGTCGGTTCGTATTAATGACTGTAAATACTCTTGTAATGCGAACGCAGATTCGTACTTGTCTAATGATATGTGAGGGAATTGATACGCATCCTATTATGAATGAAAGAGTACAGGAACATTAAAAAAAAAGAAAAGATCTAAGGTGATAAATTAAGCGTTCACGGAAAACAATATACTTCAAGCTTAGTTCCAGGGAGATTTCGCCGCACAAGAGCAGGTTTGAGAGTTGTTTCCGTTGGCGAGGCGGTCGATGTCATAATATGAAGTTAAAGATCGACATCACGAGTATATCATTTTTAAAATATTGAAATTCTTTAACCAATTACGACTAGCCAGCATGATCAGGTGAAATGCTACACACATATTAGTGTAATTTAACGTTAAGGCGATAGATATATGCAATGTTTTCAACACATCGTCAGTTGGAAAGAAGAACGGGTAAATCTGGTACACCGAGGAAAGTCAAAAAAGTCCAAACTGTTTGGAATATTCGGTGCTCAAAGCTCAATAATTTATATGATATAACTTCTATAGACTCGAATACCTTCAACAGTTAGTTAATGAGTATCAGGACACAAAGGATCAAGGTATTTCATTTTATTAAGAGTGTTATATGATTAGATGATTTTTAACCTTAAATTTTCGTGTAATTTGCAGAAGCAAAGTATCAAGTTCTTGCCAACTTAGTCAATTTCTCTTATGATCCTATAAATTATAATTGGCTTTGGCAATTGAATGTGGTTGATTTGTTTCTTGGTTTGTGCGGCACTAATATTTCGTTGTGAATTCTAGCTTATTTCGCATTTTATTTATATACATCTATATTATTGTAGATACTTTGACAGAATCCGATGAAAAGTTAAAGGAATTCGGTTTAGGAGGGTTGTGCAACCTATGTTTAGGTCTGGTCCGTTTCATCGTTTTTTTTTTTTATATTGTTTTCCGATGATTTAAAAATATTAATTACTGAATCTCTTTTAGAGAAACGAAATAAAGAACATATAATAAATAATGATGGTATTCCACTAATAATTCAATGTTTATACGATAAAAATGAGGAAATAATACTTTCTGCAATCACAACCTTGATGTTTCTGGACAGTAAAGAAAATGAAGGTATAATATTCTTATAAAGTTTATTAAACTTAATTCAAGTTTAAAATAAAAAGGTTATTTATTATTATATAGATATTTTGTCCGAGTCTGTTAAAAAACGCCTGGAACACTTGTCTCAATTTGAAAATAAGCGTTTAAATAACTTAGTAACAATATTTTTACAGGATTATTTTAAACAGACTAATTTTGATAAAACCGTATAAATTATAATGTAATGTTCGATCATGTAATAGCATGCATTGCGTTTATCTTTTTTCTTGTTATAAAGGAATTTCGTACATAACGAAAATGCATAACTAAATTGCGTTAATATTTGTACTACCACCATAATATAATAAACATTCAATAAATTAACAATTTAATTTTCTTAATTTTATATCAACAACGTTTCTTTATAATTGATTTATTCAAATAATATGGATGAATTTATGGATGAAGTTAAATATAAAAAAGCAAAAAACGATTGGGTTACTGGCCATGAGGGTGGATCTATGTGGGAAATCTGTTTTATAGCAAGTGTCCTTCTGGTAAGAGTTAGCCTCACTTTTGATTAAAAATTCAAGATATCGATTAATTCACAATTATCAATCATCACAGAATTCCTTTATTTTATGGTCGGCAACGGTCAAATATGCTAAAATTTTCAACTACACTTCTAAAAATATAATCTCGAACTTTCTATTAGAATATATATTTCTCATTATTCCGAGTCTTCTCTCTTGCACTCTATTAGTTGACTATGCTTTTTATATAAATGTAATTTTATTAGTTTTGACCTTCTTGATAATCCAAAATTCATCAATAAAATCAGTGAGTGATGAAAAGAAAAAAAGGAGAACATGGGAAAGTAGTTCTGATGAAGATGAATTTGACATATCATTAAACGAAGAAAAATCCAGTGATAGGGAATTGACGACTGAGAATTCTAAAAATAAAGAAATTAACATTAATAATGCCAAGAGGAAGCCTTTTTTGAGTGCATATAGGTCTTGTATGATGATTTTAACTTGTTTGTCTATTTTGGCGGTGGACTTTCCGGTTTTCCCGAGACGACTAGCAAAAACAGAGACATATGGAACTTCTCTCGTATGTTATTTTTATATATATGTATATATTATTATTTAATCTAAATATATATAATGTATTAATATATTTTGAATAGATGGACCTTGGAGTTGGTTCTTTTGTGTTTTCATCAGGTATCGTGGCTGCACGACCATTTCTTAAAAAACCAGAAAATCGGTTCAAGCCATTCAAAGGACAGTTGTTAATGGCGGTCAGACAAGCATTACCATTATTAGTACTTGGATTTATACGACTAATTATGGTGAAAGGTGTTGACTACCAAGTATGCAAGTCTCATGAATATTTAAAAATTTTCATTTTCCATTTCATTAATTTTAGTCATTTTTAACATTATTAGGAACATACAACTGAATATGGAGTACATTGGAACTTCTTTTTTACCCTTGGATTTTTGCCCATATTTGTTACTATTTGTAGAACTGTTCATAAATATATCCGATTTTCTGTCGTTGGGTTGTCCATTGCCATTTGTAAAGTATATCTTTAATAAACTAGGTGCTAACATTTTACAGTACCTAATTTCTTTATTTGCCTTTATAGTATACCAAATTGTTCTTTATGGGTTTGGCCTTGAAGATTACATACAAAATGCCCATCGTACTGATTTTATTAGTTCGAATAAGGAAGGGATAAGCAGTTTTTGGGGTAAAGAAATTTTTAGTATTTTTAAATATATCCACCTACACTTTAATAATAATTAAAAATATTAACATTTAAACAATATAGGTTATCTATCTATATTTCTAATTGCCCTAGACATAGGTCACTACATACTACCAATTGACCCTTATTATGCAATTCGTCAAAATCGAAAAACCAAAAAGCCAAAACCAAAAAAATTAGGAATGTTATTATTTTCATGGTCAATTTTATTTTTGCTTGGATTCATATTTTGCATAGCACTTAGAATCCCAGTATCTAGGAAGATTGCGAATTTAAGTTATATAGTTTGGGTGGTAGCTTGTAATACGACCTTTTTATTATTATTTCAAGTAGTGGAAATAATTTTTTTTAAAGATTATTGGAATAATGAAAGAAATTTACCAATACTAATTGAAGCTGTAAATTCTAATGGGTTGGCTGTATTCCTTTTGGTAAGTTTTTTTTTTTTTTTTTTTTTTTCCTTCTATAAAATGGCATTTTCTAATTATGCTCTTGTTTGTTGAATTAGGCAAATATATTAACTGGACTAGTTAATTTATCCATGCGTACTTTATTTATAAATGATGGATTAGCTGAATGTATATTAGCGAGCTATATGTTTGTTGTTGTTGCTATAGCCGTATGGTTTAATATTAATGATTGGAAATTTAAATTATGAGATAGTGTACAAGTTAATTCACTAGATTAGGTTTTAAATGATTCATAATTGTTTTTACAAATTGGTTTATTATTTTAGGGACTGTCACTTGTACATTTAAAAAATATTAATAGATAGCTTTTCTTTTTATCTTAAAAAAAAATTTAATTATCCGTCAATTATTGTATTATCATAGAGTTTACATATTAAAAGAATAGATTATTAATTCAAATAGAAATTGTTTATTTAAAACTGTAAATTACTAATGGTTGAGAAGACCAAATATAAGAATTATCATTTCATCTGCCGTTTTATAGCGATTCTCTTTGAAGTTCTGATAATTTATATGAATGGTTGTAGACGACTACTTTACTAAGCAGTTATTATCGACTAAACCAAGTCGATTATCAGTAGCGATATAAATTAAGTTGTCTATCTCCTATACAGTATATAGGCATAGCCCAAGCTCTAATCGACTCGACTAAATCGTTGACGGTTCTTCTCACTTAATAGACAATCACTACACAGACATCTTATCACCAATAAAGAATATTTGAAAGAAAATTTTGTTTTTTGAGAACATAAATTATAATTTTAGCCTCCTTATGTTCTCAAAATCATTACCGTATTCCGTTCGCCAAAGTACCCCGGGTCTTTTACAAATTTGGGCATTTTAAAGCCCGATCCGGGTACTTTACATAGGGGGTATACATATATATTGTAAAATACCCGGTATATATATGTAGACAAATATAAGCGATATCTATGTAATGCAGTATCAAAATTAAATATATATGTACCCCGGGTATTGAAGTTTGAAATCTGAATACTCATAGCATTATACCCGGATATTTTACAAAGATTTATGGGGGGTACAATACATGGGGGGTACTTTGGCGAACGGAATACGGTAGTAGTTTTATTTCATTTCACACAATTATTGTCGTCAGAATTAGGATTAGAATTAAAATTACTCTGAAATAGTTGTCTACAGTAAATTGATCGATCGTCTATGAATTAAGGTGACTTTGAAATGATACGGACACACCGTTGACTTAGGGTGTTCTCTAGCACCTCAATCATAGCTAAATCAATGGATCGGAAGATCAGTTTTTAATTAGTGAAAATTATTTTTCGCTGTTTTTCACAAATTAAAAATTGTCGGGAATGATGCTGAAATTTTAACTTATTTTAATATGAAATTTTAAAAATTTTTTAACCCGTTTCTTTACAGCTTGTTTTTATAGTTAGGTTAGGGTTTAGAGTTAGTGTTTATAATAAAAGAATATAGGTGGGTTTTAGTAGGGTTTGTATTTTTAAATCGAGATCTCCGAGGAACACCCTTAGTTTAAAAATCCAGCGGATATCCGACTAAACTTTTTCAAAATCCACTGGGATTTTTGTATCTGATCAAAATGTCCGTTGAATATTTAAACTCCGAATAAAACTAAAATTTATCAATTTACGTTATTAATGTTATTAATTGAATACACTTATAATCACTTATACAGTATGTCATTTGTAATTAATATTTATATGTCTGATCAGATATCTAACGGATTTATCAAAATATGACCGTTGAAAAAAATAGTCGGATGATCCAAGCTCTAGTTTAAAAAAGTCGATTTACTGAAATCGCAATTTTTAAATCCTAGAGCAATTGATTCGAATGATGATTAATTTCAGTATAATCGTATATATGTCGTACTTAAAGTTGCTAATCTCTAAATTAAAGTTAGCTAGCGAAACAGCCTATATTACCGGCAATCAGTATCCGAATTTATGTATTGTCCGAAAATCTTCGGCTACCATTTTTGCTAGGTGACGCTAAGATTGCTTTTTGGGGGACCGTCTTGGCTAACGCTAACTTAACACGACGCATAACTTCCATTTATTGTCCACACACATGATGTAATACGTGATCATACAGAGGATACAGAGGCCTCTGCAATTATGATTAGCCGCGCAATTTTATATGAACGTTGCACCTTTGTACTCTTATTAGATCCGGACATTAAGAGCCTGTTTACTGCTAACTCTAATGATACATTGCAAATAATTGTTGTTGCGGGGATCATTCTATGTATGTAGGACTCTTTATAGTATGCATATCTAAAGATCTACTACATACATACATACATACGTACATACGTGTAGATAGTTGTTTTATTTAAACAATGACATGCTTTTACTCATAATCTTCTCAGTCTTCAACTACATTCATTTTGCTGTTGTATACTGAACGTTGGCAAGGTTTACTAACACCTAAAGCCTTAAACTTTTTGCAGTACATTCAAGAATAGTCATTCAATATGACCAAATTCACGCCGGAATCAGTTTCATTAGCTTTGCTGATTTTGTCACCAGTCTGCTTTCTTGCTACAGCCACTTTACAACAGTTACTTATTGTAGACGATTTCCTATTACCTTTTCTACAAAATTATTTCAAAATTAAGGATATACCGTTCGTCATGATCGGTGTAGTGTTCGTTTGGGCTTACTTGATAACTGCTTCCCTAAGCGTTATTGCACAATCCATCGGATTAAAAGATGGTTATAACAATAGTGTATGTATTCCGTTATCTTTAGTATTTTTTTTTTATCTATATTATTAAATTTATTTCGTTTACTTCTAGGATCCAAGACTTTTTAAGTCGTTGTTGAGAGGTGCATTGGCTAGAGTGGTAGCCGCACATCAGGTTGCTTTAGAAAATGCTCCAGGTAAATTATAATTAATGCTTTTGCTAGCATTATTCGTAATATCGATTCGTATTTTATGAGATATTTTATTTTTCTTTAGCATTTTTCGCGGCAGTTATTATTGCATCAGCAAATAAGGTGCCTCTAAGATACAGAACTAGGTTAGATGGATGTTTGTTCAAATTCCAATTCAACAAATAATGAGCTTTGCTAACTTTCTTTGTACTTTATAGTTTTTCTGTCATGTATACAGCCCTACGAATTATTCATACACCGCTCTATGTATTAGATTTTGACATTGCCCGTGCTATCGTACATATAATGGCATTGTCATGTACTGCATGGCTATTCGCATTCGCCCTTTTGCCTGGCTTTGAAAAAAATTATTCGTCTATAATTGAAGTTGTAACCATCTTACGAAGCGTATCCGATGATTCTACTTGGACATTTGATTAATTTGACGCCTAAGTGATAAACATGTAACCACTCATTATTTATAACAAGTTTAGGAATCTTATTACAATTTGGATAGATGTAAGTTTACGATTTTTAAACTTACATATCAACGAATTCAATTTGTTAACATACTATATATTTTATTCTATTTTATTTTTATCTGAAAGGATTTATTCATATTTCCCATATTAGAAATCACCATTTAGTAACAAAAAAATAAATTTAACACATTGCATGTTTGATTCTTTGTCTAAAAGTCAATTTCATTGCAAGGAGTAATACTGTATTTAGTCTCGGAATGCGTGCATTCTTATTATTTAACCTTGTGTTTTGATGATGAATATCCATTTATTATTATTATCATTCTCAGTATCATTATTATTATTGTTACTATCATCTTTATTTTATATTCGAGTTTATGCATAGAGTGGATTAGTAATTGGTTGAAAATTGTTATGTACTTATAGATCATTGTTTGTCATATAATATTATCGAAATTTGTAAAAGCTTGTTTTATTTTATATCTTTTACAATTATATTATTATTTTTTGCTTGTGAATTACATTTATACTTTGTTAATAAAAAAATAATTATTAAATTTTTGTAATGGAAGAAAGTAATAGGAATTAAAATTTAGAATGTATTGTGCTATTCTATTAATTATGACGGATTGAAATGAATTTTAAAGTGTATTTTTTTAGAATTTTTTTTAGAGTTAGACGTAGAATTTAAAGTTGTTAATAAAAGTGTATAAGTGAGTTTTATAGGCTTTAAAGCAAGAAGACTTCTTTAATCTGATTTTATTATAAATAATAAATATATTGTTAGCTAAAAAAAACTATTTTTAAATATTAAAAAAAATCAAAATGGATTTATCGTTATAAGTAGTGTTTGTAGTCGATTATACATGTGACCGAAATTTTTAACGGTTTTGACGAAACCGAAAATCCGAAACCCACTTTCGAAACCCAAGTCGAATCCGAAACCTTTGCCGTAACTAAAAATTTTGTCGAAATTTATTTTATAAATTCAATATTTCAATACATAAAAAAAATATCATTATCAATCTCTATTGACATATTTCTAGCTAATGTTTCTACATCAAATCATTGCGTTGTGGAACTAATACAACAGTTTGTCTTCTTGAACTAATTGTTGTATTA